GGAGGGGGTAGGGGGAGGGGTAAACCCCTCCCCGAAGGGGAAGAAGGGGGGTTGAGGACAGAGCGGGCTCTCTAAACCACTCACGCCCAAAGGGCTGGTGGGATTCACGTATATGTAATTGCATGTCTACGTATACGTAGATGTATTTGTATATGTATGTGCTTTTGTATATGTATATGTACATGTATATGTATATGTATGTTTATATGCATATGTTTATGTATAGGTATATGCATATTTATATGTATATGCATATGTATATGTATACGCATATGTATATGTGTATGTATATGTATATGTTTATGTACATGTATATGTATATGTATCTGAATATGTATATGTGTATATTTATGTGTACTTGTAGATATATGTATGTGCATGAGTATATGTATATATGTACGTGCACGTATGTGTTTATGTATGCTTGTATGTGGGTGCAGATGTATCTGTATATCTGGATCTAGCTGTAACTGTATATGTATAGGTATCTGTATCGGTGTAGGTATAAATGCATACCAGCGAGCGTTGACTCCACATACATTAGACGACTCGAATCAAGGAATCAGAGGAATCAAGCATGCTTGGAATCTGCAAAATCAAGCGCGCAAGCAAGCAAGCAATCAAGCAAACGAGCGAGCAAACAAGCAAGCAAGCAAGCGTACACGCGCGCAAGCAAGTAAGCAAGCAAGCAAGCAAGCAGGCGTAGGCATAGGCGTAGGCATAGGAATTAGGGGGGAGGCATACGCATAGGCATAGGCATCGCCATAGGAATTAGAGGGGGGGCGGGGGTAGGATTTTTTTTTGTGTGTGTGTGGGGGGGGGGGACGGACCAATTAGTACGGTTTGGGCTAGAACTTCTATAGGGCAAGCCTGTTCGGATACTATGTAGATGTAGATTTAGCTGTATCTGTATATGTAGATGTAGATGCAACTGTAGATGTAGATGTAGATGTAGATGTAGATGTATATATCGTCATATGTGTGTATGTATGTGTATGTTCGTATGCATTTGCATTTGCATTTGCGCACACACATATACATATATATATATATATATATATATATATATATATATGTGTCGCCGCCGTACCTGGGTTGTGGGTCGGCGTTCTCAGGAATGCTTCTTGGGGTCTCTTCGGAGCGCTTTCGGTGGCCTCTGGGGGGGCAGTCTTGTGGCCTTCTGGGGGCCTCTTGGACGCTTCTTGGGTCTGCCTGGGGGTCTTTTGGAGGCCTCTTCTGCTTGAGGGCCTTTTGGGGTCTCCTGGGGGCCTCTCGGGGCCGAGGGCTCGAACTGTTCGTTCGGGCCGCCCATTTAGGCCCTCTCTTGGATCCGTTTTGGGGGCCTCTGAGTCGTCTTTGGCGCCTCTTGCGCCGTCTTGGGGCCTTCTTTGGCCGTTTTGGGGCCCTCTTGGATGCCATTTGGGCCGTCGTGGGGCGATCTTGGGGGCCTCATGGGCCGTCTTGGAGTGCTGGGAAGCCGAAAAGGTGAGGACGCCCAAATCCGTCGGGAGGCCTCTTGGAGGCCTTTTGGGGCGTCTTGGGAGCATCTTGGGTTGTCTTGAGGCCATGTTGGGCGTCTTGGAGTGGTCTTTGGGCGGCCTGGGGCCCTCTTGGACCGTCTTGGGGGCCTCTTGGGACGCTCTTGGCTCGTCTAGGGTCCCAGTTGGCCATGAAGGAAAATTTGAGAACTTGGGGTCCCGCCCTCTAAAAGAATCCTCAGGATTGGGGAGTCAGGATCCAGGGAATTGTGCATTGGACCTGGGGGCACTCAATCTCGTGACTCGAGGGCACGGTGGTGTTCATGTCTTTTATTATACCGATGTAGATGTATGTGTACAAGCACTTTTACATGTGCCAGTCTGTTTTATGTAGATGTCGAGGTATACATAATATGAGATGGTTATGATTGTTTCGATGCCTGTGCGTTTGCACAGACATACGCACACACACACTCCTACATACATGTAACATGTGTGCGTAATCTTGTATATGTATGAATGGGTATATGTGTGTGCATGTGTACGTCAGTGTATGTATGTATGCATGAATGTACGTATGTATGGATGTATATGCATATATACATACTTAAATCTTTAGGTATGTATGCACATGCAGGGGGTGCATGACTATGTGTATGTTTATGGGTATGGCTATTCACATGCATATGCATGAACATGTAGGTCTAACCATCGGCGCGTTTATATTGCGAAGGCCTTACGGCCGGTGCCGTCGACCCTGTAGGCAGAGACGACGAAGACAATGGAAGTAGAGGAGTCCAAGATGCCCTCAGATGGCTCGACGACGGCGCCAGATGCCTGCAAGGTCGTCCGAAGACAGCTCAAGAGGCCTCCTCCAGGGTTCGGGAACGTCTCCAGAGAGTGCCAAGATAGGCAAAGAGCGCCCTCAAGTGGCCCGAGAGGGTTCCAAGACGGCGTCAAGCGAGGTCCAAGAGCACCCGCAGAGGCTGTCAAGAGTGCCGCCAGAGGCTGCCAAGAGAGTCTAAAATGGCGAAAGGTCTCCAAGGAGCCTTAAGATAGGCTGAAAGGGCCCGCAGACGGCCCCGGAGGGCCAACGGAGCCCCAGGACGCAGGAGGATGAGAGGCGGGGGGCTGCGTATCCGAGGGGGGACCCCCCCCTGGGGAGTTGCCCCGGGACCCCTCCCCCCTGGCGGGGAAGGGATCAAAGGGCCCGCAGACGGCCCCAGAGGGCCAACGGAGCCCCAGGACGCAGGAGGATGAGAGGCGGGGGGCTGCGTATCCGAGGGGGGACCCCGCCCGGGAGTAGGGGGGACCGCTCCTCGGGAGCCCGGGAGTAGGGGGGACTCCCCCCGGGAGTTGCCCCGGGACCCCCCCCTGGCGGTGAAGGGATCAAGGGAAGGGGCTTCCCATCGACTAAAGGACGACGTTGTTCAATTTTTGTGTGGACTTGTGTAGGGAGCCCTCGGAAAGCAGAAGAGGCGACGACGTTGTGGGGAAGACGGAAAAGCATCTCCCACACGCCGACAGGGTCGGCGGATTTACGTATTCAAATGTATACATGCCTATCTATCTATCTCTATATATATATATGTATGTATATGCTTGTTTGTGTAGATATTTATATATGTTGATGTATGACTACATGTATATGTAACTGTCTATGTATAGGTGTATGTGTAAGCATACGCATATGTATACATATATATAGATATATGCATACGAATAGGCATATGTAGATGAATATGCAAATGCGAATGACCATGACTATGTCCATGTGTATGTATGTGATTATGTATATGTGTATGTATATGCATGTGTGCATGCCTATGTTTATGCATATGAATATGCATGTGCATAAATATAGGAATTTGATTATGTTTATGTTTATGTCTATGTAAAACATATATATATATATATATATGTATATATATATATATGCGTAACTGTATGTGTGCAACTGTATGTAAGTGTTACGCATGTGTAACTGTATAGTGATCTATGCGTATATATGTACACCTATATGTATATGCATATGTATATGTATATGCATGTGTAAATGTGTATGCATATATTTGTATATGTATAGGTATTTGTATATGTTTATTTGTGTACATGCATATGTGTATGCATATGCATATGCACATGTACGTGTATGTGTATGTGTATATGTATATGTATATGTATACGTATACGTATATGTATGTGTATACGTATATGTATATGTATGTGTATGTAAATGTGTATATGTATATGTATATGTATATTATACGTATATGTATATGTATATGTATATGTATATGTATATGTATATATATGTATATATGTGCATATGTATATGTAGATGCATATGTATATGTAATGTAGATACAATGTATGGGTTACTGTATATGTGTATAGATATGTATACGTTTATGTGTATTTATCTACGTTTATGCATAGGCCCATGCGTAGGTATTTAGTACACATATATATATAGACATAATCCTTCGTATGATCGCACACGCACGCATATGTATATATATATACACATGTGTATATATGTATATATATATATATATATGTGTATATATATGTATATGTATATGTATGTGTGTCCCGACGTACAGATGTATCATCCGAGCTGGTGCCGTTCATGTCTAGCAGAGATCAACCCTTCAGTCCGGAATCCAGCTGGGAAGCGCTCTCCAGCACACCTTCCCCCAGAGCCTCCTTCGTGCGCCCCCTGGGCATCAAATCATTGCCAGGGACCCCCTGGCGTGGCTCAAGGCCTCCCCGGCGCACGCTTCAGGACATCGTCTGGCTGGCCACCCGCAGCCTTTCTGAGCCGAGCCGCTCGGCCCCCGCCCCAGACCCAGACCCCCGACGTCGCGCTTTTGGTCGCTACGTGGACCCACAGAGGTCTGGACGTCTGGACCCCACCCTGGGGACCTGGTAGTTCTTCATCCTGGGCTGTTTTTCTTAGCCGTCCTGGGGCCTGGGGAGGGCCCCCTCAGAGGCCAGATATAGGAAAAACGCCTCCCGTGGCGATTTCTTCGCGACGCGAGCGGGTTTGGGGAGGTCGCGGCACTCGGGCCCCAGGTCCTCAAGTCGGCGGTCAGCCCGGGGGGCAAGTGAGAGGGCGAGGGGTTTCTCAGAAGGCTCGGAAGGTCCCCGGCCTTCTCCGAAGCTCCCTGAGCCTTCCCCGAAGGCACAGAACACCTCTCGGCAGGGCGGAGGCCCTCCCAGAAGCCCCCGCGGCCCTCTGAGAAGGCCTTCTCCTTCGCGCTTCCCCCGATCAAAGGGCGAGGCTGCCCTTTGATCGGGGGAAGCGAGGCTGCCCTCTGAGAAGGCTCGCCGCCCGATCAAAGGGCGAGGCTGCCTTTTGATCGGGGGAAGCGAGGCTGCCCTCTGAGAAGGCTCGCCGCCCGATCAAAGGGCGAGGCTGCCCTTTGATCGGGGGAAGCGAGGCTGCCCGATCAAAAGGCGAGGCTGCCCTCTGAGAAGGCTCGCCGCCGATCAAAGGGCGAGGCGGCCCTCTGCGGCATGCCGCCGCGCCAGGAGGCCGCGGCGAGGCCGCGCGTCGAGGGCGGCCCCGCGCCCGCCGCCCCGAGCGGGCCGCGCCCCGTGGCCGTCGTCGGCCTCGCGGGCTCCGGGGCGGCGGCGCGCCTCGCGGAGGCGAGCCGCGCCGCGGAGGCGCCGCGGCCGCGGCCGAACCCAGACGTTCACCACCCACCGAACCACCCCTGGGAGGATCGAGGAGGGAGGGAGGAGGCGGAGGAGGAAGAAGGGTGGACGGCCATGAAGGCGGGTTCAACGTCAGAAGAGCTCGCCGTCGGAGGCTTCAGAATCGTTGTCTGAACCGTCCACGGCCCGACGCTGCCCGAGTTCCTTCACCCTCGGCAGCTCAGACTCCAGAATCCCAAAGGCCGCAAGGACAGAAGCTTGCGAGGGCAGTCCTGGACAGAACCCTTCAGCCGCAGACGAGCCCGAGCTCGCCGCCGCTGCTTCACATGAATCCACTAATCCCTCGATCTCGACCTGTTCCTGGGAGCACAACGGGCCAGAAGGACCGAGCACGAGGGATTTCGTGGTGGCACGGTAGTGTGGGTGCAGGCGCGCCTCCCCGGCGCGCCTCGCGGAGGCGAGGCGCGGCGGGGAGGCGCTGCGGCCGCTGCCAAACCCAGACTGACGAGCGAACAACTCACACCCATACCCATAGGAGGGTCGAAAGGAGGGGAACTGGCTATGGGTATGGGTGCGAGTTGTCGGACCCTGGGGGAAGCTCCCGTTCGAGCGGGGACCCCCATCCGACAACACGCACCCATAGCCTCCTCCGTCCCCCCTATGGGTATGGGTGCTTGTTGTTCGATCGTCACAGACGTGCTCGCGTTGTGAAAAGCATCGGGGCGGAGGTTTTTCGTAGTGTTCGCCCTCGGGGGCGCCTCGCCGGGCCCCGGGGCCGTCGGGGAACGGCCCCAGGAGGAAGAGCAGGTCCCGGGGAAGGGGTCGTAAAACATGGCTAGGATCGGGATAAATCGCTCCAGAGCGTTCCGGAGCGCTCTCAGAGCGTTCCGGAACGCTCTGGAGCGGCCGCGGCGCCCAATACATCCTCCAAACCCGCCGATTCTCAGAGATTTCGAGTTATCCCGATCCGATTTTGTCCCGATCTTCGCGTCGTTTTTAGGTCGGGACATCCAGGGGCTCCGTGCTGACCAGCTCAGGGCATCGCAGGTCTGGGAGTCCTGCCCCTGCGGGTCCAATCTCGGCGGCGCTCCACATGGGGGTGGCGCGGGGGGGGCGGCCTTCTGAGAATGCGCAGGGGCTTCCTAGGAGGCGTGGGGCCTTCTTGGAAGGGCCGGGAGGCCTGTAAGGAGGCTTCTTAGAAGCTCCAAGAAGGCCTCTTAGAAGCCGCCCGGCCCTTTCAAGAAGGCCCCATTGCCTCCTGAGAAGCCCCTGCGCCTTCTCAGAAGGCCGTCCTCCTCGCGCCGCCCTCTGGTGCGCCGCCATCCATCGGCCCTGGGGTGTCGGACACCCCCGCTGCGGTGCACTTGGCTGCGCGCACTCTTCGAATTCTCAGCGCCGTCGTGGTGTTCACATTTGGTCGCCTGGAGGCGGAGCTGCAGCTGGCGCCTGGGCAGCGCCCAGACCTGAACGACGGGGAGCACTTCAAGGTGAGGGCGGCTCCCAAGCAGGGCCCCGTGAGCCTGGGCGTCGTAATTTTGTTCGCGCCTCGTGATTTCGCCTTATTTCGGGCCTTTGCGGCCCTCACGGATCGATTCGGCTCGCAAAGTCCGGCAGAAGGGGGGCATTTCAGGTGAGGGCGGCTCCCAAACCAGCCGCGCTCTCGTCGTGACCAAGCTCACGGCTGGAGGTTCTGAGCCGTTTTCGGCCCCGCGGGACCCATGCCCTCGCTGGGCCCCAGAGCCGTCAATAAAACGGTGGAGGAAGCGGCGGCCCCGTGGAATGGGCCGAGACCTCGCAGGGTCCACGTGTTGGAGAGCTCAAGACGTGGGATATCTGGGAAGCAGCGGGGGCGGGGGCGGCGTGGCCCGGCGGGAGCCAGCGCGAGCAGCGGCCGGGTCCCTCCAGAGAGGTCAGCGCCCGGGCACCCAGGGCTTTCGGATCGATGATTCACAGAACGTGTGTTGGGGGTCCGAGGTGGCCCAGCACTGGTTCTGGTCAGCGGGGAGGGGTGGGCGAGTTTCGAGGCGCTGAGTTCGGGATGTTTTTTTTGTTTTTTTTGTTTTTTGTTTTTTTGTTTTGCCTTTCTCGGTCTCTGGGGGCCGTTTCCGGGCCTTGAGACTGTCAAAAGCAGATCCGGGGTGAACAATTGCACTAGATGGACCCGGGAGGGGGGACCGATTTTGAGCGGATTTGCCTCCATCCCTCCCCTGTTGACCGATTTTCTCGAGGCCCAAACAGCTCAGACACCCTGGCTGCCTCCAAGCCCCGTTCAGTTCCACCGATAGCACGCGGTCTGTGTCTGCTCTCGTAGCACCGCCTGCAAGGGCTTCCGTGGACAAGCGCACGTTGGCGCCAACACATGTCCTGAGGATCATCGATCGGAGTCGGCCAGGTCATGTGGGATGTCCTCACGAAAACCCTTGGCGGGCTCCCCCTGTTCGGGGCGGAGCACCTCGCGGCGCTGGAGAGGTCCGCCGCAGTCGTGCTGCGCTTCGGCTCCGACGTCTTCCCGCAGGAGATCGGCATCCTCCGGACGCCCTCACACGGCGTGTGTTGGGCGCCGCGTAATGGGGGGGTCATAAATGGGGGGGGTGGCGAGAGTGGTTCGAAAAGGTACCCGAACGGTACCTAAACGAGCCCCCTGGGGCTCCGGAGGGGCCCGAAAGGGGCACGAAAGGGGACCGTTTCTGACCCCCCCATTTATGACCCCCCCCGTCAAGCCACGCCCAAGTGTGCGCCAGCCCCCCCCCCCCGGGGGCGACGCGCGTGCTCGGACATCTCGTCGTGCGTGGCTCGGTGGCGGGCGCCCGCTGGCCACGCCGCCGGGGCAGCACGCCGTGCTGCATGCTCGGCTCGGGTTGTGCGCCTCCGCGGGGGGCGCGCGGCGTTGCGGTGGGGGCCCGTGCCAGGGGAGCGCCCTGCTTGCCTCCAGGGTGCCCTGGGTTTCTTGGGTTCCGGTGGTTTTGCGGTGGAAAGCGTGACGTTCCCACCCCAAACTCAATGGACGTCCTGGGGTCTCAGGGGTGGGCCTCTTGCGAAAGGTTTCTTGCGGTCGAGCTCCTCCTGTAGTGTTAGTGCGTCCCTGTGTGCCAGCAGGAGACCGCACTGCCCACGCCCTTGATGCGGCCCTGCTCGTTCCCTGGCGACCCGCCGCTGGACATGGACTTCGACTACCTGTCCCTGGCGGTGGCGTGCCAGGCCGCTAGTGGCAACGTTAGGGGGGGGGACAGTTGGCGGCGAGCGAGGGGGGGAAGTGAGAAGGGGCGTCCTTCTCTCTATCGTTCAACCGACCCCCATCCCCATCCTCATCACACACCAAATTACCACCCCAGTTGGGGATACACCCCTCGAAACCCAAAGGGAACGGCCTATATCCCCATCTAGGTGGGTAAATCGGCCAGTGGGGCCGGCCACGCCGCTGGGGATGGGGATCGGTTAAACGATGCTCATTCTCCGAAGGCTCGGAATTTCCCCGGCCTTCTGAGAAGTTTTCGAAGCCTCTCCCGAAGACACAGAGAACTTCTCAGAAGTTGCGAGTGCTTCTCAGAAGTCCCGCCGCCTTCTGAGAAGGCCTTCTCCTTCTCACTTCCCCCCCTCGCTCGCCGCCGAGGTATGCTCAGGGGGGATGCATCGACCCCAAAATCGCCCATTCATCGCCGACAGGGGCACGGCAGTCTGCCCCGCCCAGGGACGTTCCGGTTCGCTATCGGGGGCCCATCGCCGATCCATCGGCGATGTATCGCCGATTCCAGCCCGACGTTTCCCTCTCTGAGCCGCCCCCCCCCCTGACGCTCCCCCTTCAGGTCGTCCTGCACCGTCCCGATCTTGTCTCTGGTGTGCACAGCTTTAAGCAGCTCTACGGGGGGCGCCTGATCACGGAGATCATACCGGAGGCGGGCGAACACACGGAGTTTACGGGAGAGACGCGGCGCAACGACCCCGTGAGGCAGGCGGAGGGAGAGATGCGGCTGCACGTGGACGACGCGGATCACCTGCTGCGGGCACGCTTGCAGCTCCTGGTGGGCGTCAATGTCGAAGAAGAACGAAGCGGCATTGTCACAAACTTTTGGAGCTCCGCGCGGAGGTCTGGGATCGGCGCTGCCCCCCCCCTCTCCTCCCTCCACCTCCCTGGCGCGCGGAGCGCGCAACGGGCGGCGCCGGAGGCGCCGCCAAGGGGGTCCAGCGCCGATCCAAGAACGCCGCGCGGAGCTCCGAAAGGTTATGTATATCTGTGCCATCTCTTCTACTTCGGGAAGAACCCTGCAGGAATCCAGACAACATTTGCAGTCGTGCCGCAAGACCAGGTCATCCAGTCCTGGGGAGGCTGCGACGTGGGGCTGCTGCGGCAGCCCCTCTTCCGCAGCTTCCCCCCCAGCATCGTGAAGCCCGACGCCGTGCCGCTGCGGCCACTGCTCTTCGGCCCGGAGGAGTGGCCGATGGTGCAGGCTGACCAGAAGGCTCTCCAGAAGCACGCGGAGGCAGAGTTCCCGAGCTTCGAAACTTCTTCGGCGGCGCACGCTTGGAGCGCGTTTCACTCGTTCCTCCGGTCCTCAAGCTGCCTCAGCGGTGTCGTGGTGGGCCCAGGGGACGTGTTGCTCTTGGACAACTACCGCATGATGCACGGGCGCGAGGAGATTCCCCCAGTACCAGACGTGAGTGCCCGCCGCTGGGTGAAGCGGCTGTGGTTGTCAGCAGCACCCATGGAGGCAGTTCTTGATGGGTGTGCCCGGTTCCATGGGCACCCGCGTGTTTTTGACAGGCTGGACGTGTTTGAAAAGCAAGCGTCCAAGCCGCACCCAGACCTCCCCGCCAGCGGTCCGCACGCTGAGAGGAGGCCGTCGCAATGAGCATGTTTTTTTTCAGTCGTCTTGATTTTTTGCTGATGTAGTACGTCAATGGTGGCGACTTCGACCCCGAGGCACGCGTGTCGGTAGGGGGCCGCGCGTTCGCGTTTTTGCAAGCGGTCGGGTTGAGCTGCTTCACGTTCTAATTCTGATTCACGTACGCATGCGCATGAATGCTTCGCTCCACGTCACACGTTTGGTCATTGTGCACGCCTTCATTCGTCCATCGATCATGCACGAACGTGTACTCAGACATCCGAGGATGCTTTTTTTTTCCGAGGTGCGGCCCCAGAGGTCCCGACCCCTTCCCCGGGAGTGTCTGTTTTCGTCCCGGATCCATTTTTGATGGTCCCAGGGCCCGATAACGGGCCCCTGAGGCCGAGACCACAGTGTTTCCGAGCTGGTGGTTTGCAGAGGCTGAGGCCGATGAAGTACGCCAGCATTGGACGAGTGACGGCCTCGGAGCCTCCGATCGTAAACATAAATTTTGGGAGGTCCGCGCAGATTTCTTGGATTGGCACGAGACTCCCCTCCCTGGCGTGCGAAGCGCGCCAGGGGCGGCGCCAGAGGCGCCGCCAGTGGGTCCAGCGCCGATACAAGAGATCCGTGCGGACGAAAGTCTGTGCGGACTTCAGTGTTGAGGACTGTTGATGACCTGAGGGCGCTCCAATCAGTGCCTCGCGGCACGGTGGCGGATGAGCAAACAAGTGTTGCGGTCTGGGACGCAGACCTGTATGTGCACGTGTTTTGTAAGGTTTGGAGCGCAGCCTGTGCCACGGTACAGATCATGATTGGGACGTGGGCCAGCTGGGTCTGGAATCACAGGCCTTGCAATATCCGTTTGCTGCACCGTGCTGTCCTCTTCTTCCCAGTTCGAGGCCTCGGTCCTTCTCCTGTGCTCTCCGACGCGCTCCTACCCGCGTCCTGCGTCGGGGCGCGCGGTTTGCACGTCATGGGCTGCGCGGGGTCTTCGCCCGGGCTTCGCCGACTCTGTACACAGTAGTGCTGTGTGGCGCGGAAAAGGATTCCTCCACTCTCCGACGCGATCCTACCCGCGTCCCACGTCGGGGCGCGCGGTTTGCACGTCATGGGCACTCATCGGGACAAGCATCGGGACAGCCATCGGGATAAGCATCGGGACAACCATCGGGACAAGCATCGGGACAACCATCGGGACAACACCGGGACTAGGACAAGCAAGCATCGGGACAACCATCGGGACAACCATTGGGGCAAGCACCGGGACAATCATCGGAGAAACTATCGGGACAAGCATCGGGCCAACCATCGCGGGACAAGCATCGGGGCAACCATCGGGATAACCAACCATCGGGACAACCATCGGGATAACCGTCTGGACAACCATAGGGGCAACCGTCGGGACAACCGAGAACAACATCCGGACAACCGCGGGGAGAGCACGGGACAACCATAGGACAACCACGGGACAACTGCGGGCCCAATCCGCCAACCAGACGGAGGAGAGACTTCTTCTCCGACTTGGCCCTGCAAGGCGGCGGGGTCGCTCTCTGCTCCCCCGCGCACGCAGCCACGCCTCGCCCGCGTGCGCGGCACGAGCACAAGACCGAAACTGATTTCCCGAGGTGGGTCTCCATTTCGCCTCGATCTCGCCCCCCCCCAACCTCCGATGTGTCGCTAACTGCTGAACGTCGCTGCCGCTACGTTCTCCCACCTCCCTTCCCGACGCCGTTTCCTGCTGCAAGCCCTCCCGACGCTAGGACGGAGGAAAGACTGGTCTACTCTGTAAGAACGGCTTTTTGAAGGCAGATCTGCCTTCAAGGAGGAAAGACTGGTCTACTCTGTAAGAACGGTTTTTTGAAGGCAGATCTGCCTTCAAAAAACCGTTCTTACAGAGTAGACCATTTTTTGAAGGCAGATCTGCCTTCAAGAAACCGTTCTTACAAAAAACCGTTCTTACAGAGTAGACCAGTCTTTCCTCCTTGCAGGTAGAGGGCATAGCCTCTTTTTGACCTCCTATGTGTTGCTCACTATACGGTGCACTACGAGGCGGCCGACCGCGACGTCAGGGCGACAGCGCGGGGAGCCCAGCCGGCGCACGAAAAGTGGCCACGGGGCGGCCTCGGGCGACGCCCGAGCGGAGGCCCCGGGGAGCCCGCGCAGTTACCGAGGCGAAGGAGCAAGATTCCGTCAGTGCAGCAATTGACGGGCAAGCTGCCACAAAGGAATTTGTGGAACAAGGTCGACTACAACCCTCGTCAAAAATAAACTGAGGGATTCTGTTTTCGGTGATTGTATCGTCGGCGCTACGAACGCAGTTTCTAACAAGTGCCCGAGAAGATCGATCGTCGTGATTTCCAACTGCGTTTCTGTTTATTTTTGACGAGGCTTGTAGGACTTCTGATCGGGCCTAATTTTCCAACACTTTGGCGCTCCGGCGCCGTACCCGCAGCACCCTCGACGGTGCCCATATGCGGGCGTGCTTGCGTGCTTGCGTGCTTGCATCATATCATCCCAGGCCTTCCGGATAGGGTCAGCGCAGACAGGGGTCGGAGGATCGCGCCACATCGCCGATGCATCGGCGCTGTGGCTCGACGTGGAGCCCGATTATCTACGCCGACGTCGCTGATGCATCGGTGATGCATCGACGATGCGGCGCGATCCTCCGACCCCATCTACTCCGACCCCATCTGGGAGGCCTCTGAACATTTCCCTTGAGTATGGCTTTCCCCGCGCGTCCCTTCGAATTCCCCCTGGGAGCCTCCCAGACGACCTCCAGACCCACCAGTTCACCACGGCCCCACACAGTAGCCCTCGGGGGTCTCCCGGGAGGTCTCGGAAGGATCCCGAGGGGCCGCCACCGATGCCTACTGCCTTCTGCCTGCATTTGTTTGCCCTCTCGTGGCGGAGGGGGAAGAGGAGGAGGAGGATGATGAGGATGAGGGGAGGCTTGAAGGAGTCGGGAGTCGGGATGCGGACAAGGAGGAGGAGGAGGAATGAGGGCGGATGTGGGGTGGGATGAAGCAAGGGAGGGAGGGAGAGAGGGAGAACGATGAGGAGGAACATGGGGAGGAGGAGAAGGAGCAGGAAGAGGAGGAGGAGCAGGAGGAGGAAAATGAGGAGGAGGAGGAGGAAGAGGAGGAGGAGGAGGAGGAGGAGGAGGAGGAGGAGGAGGAGGAGGGAGGAAGAGAAGGCGCGAGAGGAGAAGGGAGAAGGAGGACCAAGAAAAGGGGGAAGATGAATGAATGGATGGATGTATTGATGGAAGGGGAGGCGGATGAGCAGGAGGAGAAGGAGGAGGAGAAGGAGGAGGAGGAGGAGGTGGAGGAGAGGGAGGAGGAGGAGAATGAAGAGGATGATGATGATGATGATGAGGAGGAGGATGAAGAGGGGTGATAATGAAGCGGAAGGAGGACGGAGGCGGTGGCGGGAAAAGGACATCGGCGTTTCTGGTGACGATGGTGATGATGGTGATGATTGAGGTGACGATGATGGCGACGATACCACTTGTGATCATGACGATGGTGACGATGGCGATAACGCTTGATACGAAGATGGTAATGAATATGATAGTGGTGAGGAGGGCGATGACACGGAGCATTCGGATGATAATGATGCAGATGTTGATGCTGCTGATGATGATGATTAGGATAATGATGATTATGATGATGATGAGGATTCTGATGTTGATGATGATGATACTGATGATACTGATGAGACTGACGACGGGGATAATGGTGATGCTTATGCCGATGACGATCAGGATAATGCTTATGACGATGACGATACTGATGATGGCTACGACTATGATGATGATGACGATGCCGATCTTGTTGTTGTAGTTGTTGTTGCTGCTGTTGTTGATGCTCTTGTGGTTGTTGATGCTGCCGCTGCTGCTGTTGTTGCTGTTGGCATCGTCATTGTTGTTGTTGCTCTTGCTGTTTGCGATGCAGTTGGTGATGATGCTGATGGTGGTGATGTGTGGTGAGGATCATGCTCATGCTGATGACGATGATGACGACGATGATGCTGATGATGACGATGTTGCTGATGGTGAGGATGATGCTGTTGATTACGATGATGATGCTGATACGGATGATGATGAGGCTGAATATGATGATTCTTATACTGATGATGCCGATGCTGATGATGATGGTGAGGATGATGACGATGATGCTGATGCTGCTGATGATGATGCTGATGTTGATGACGACGATGCTGATGCTGATTCTGATGATGATGATGATGATGATGATTATCATGATGATGCTGCTCATTATGTTGATGCTCATGATGATGATGCTGCTGCTGATGATGATGCTGATGCTGATGACGATGAGGCTGATGATGGTGACTATACTGATGTGATTATGATGATGCTGCTGCTGCTGCTGATGATGATGATGATGATTACGATACTGATAATGAAGATGATGATGCTGCTTATGACGACGATGATTATAATGCTGATGGTGATGATGATGTTGATGATGACGATGATGATGATGATGTTGATGCCGATGATGATGGTGGTGATGATGGTGATGGTGATGATGACGATAATGCTGATGGTGATGGTGATGTTGTTGATGATGCTGATTATGAGGATGATGCTGATGATGAGTATGATGATGCTGATGATGGTGATGCTGCTGCTGCTGCTGCTGATGATGATGATGATGATGATGATGATGATGATGATGATGATGATGATGATGCTGATGATGATGATGATGATGATGATGATGATGATGATGATGATGATGATGATGATAAGGATGATGCTGCTGATGATGCTGCTGCTGATGAGGTTGTTGTTGATTATGATGATGATGATGCTGCTGAGGATGATGCTGATGATGGCGATCACGGCGATGCTGATAATGATACGAATGGAGATGATGCTGAGGATGATGACGATAATTATGATAATTGTGATGATGATGCTGATGCTGATGATGCTGCTGATGATGCTCATGATGATGCTGCTGCTGCTGCTGCTGCTGCTGCTGATGATGATGATG